ATATTAAAAAAAATTGCAATATTTTCCATTGGCCAAAATTGTGTAAGATAGTCTATTGTAAGCTATAGAAAGCATTGAAACTACTAAAGATATTTACGAATCAATATGGTTTAAAAGTAAACTTTTATGCAATACCCCACAGAATATGCAGCAGTGCATCCAACCCGTTTTATAAATGAATGCTGTTACAGCTTTTTGGCGTGGAGCAGCCGAATGGTTGATTTTGATCTGGCTCCTGTTGAGAACCCGCCTCCGTAGGAACTCGATGTGTAGAACTTCCCAGTCAGCGACGATGCGTGGGTAAGGTGACGGAGATGCCACAGAGTCGTCGCCGGGATGTTGACGCCAACTGTCCTGTGACGTGACCTCCACTGATGAGCGCCGAAGGGTGTTCAGATATGGCACTGCACTCGCAGGAGGCGTTCAACCCATCTTATTCGCTACCTATGAATGCGTCCTTGGCGTGTTGGCATTTGCTTTTTTGTTTGCCGTCAATTTAACGGGATGCTTTTCTGTTTGCGGTGTGTCGCCAAGTACTTGCCAGGAACCGTGGAGTATATCGGATCTTCTACATGTATGAAATTGGCTCGCGGCCAGGGAAGGACAAGCGCTGTCCCCCGTCCCCTGCAAATCTCGGTGAAGGCCTCCTACTTTTGTGTAATAATAACATACGCAACAAGCTTATAATGTCACGATTTATTGCATTTTGAAAACGAGTGATGTTAGGAGCAAGGGCCACAAGTGCAATAAAGCAACATTACGAACGAGTTGAATTCGCCTTTTTTTATATAAAAGCATTAGATTAATTTTTGCGTCAAATTTCAAAAAGCATTTTTTGCGTTGTTGTTGACTACGTAAAAGATTGGTATCTCGATGTCATGCACAGCAAAAATGGGTACGTGACGATCAGTGAAGATGGTGTGATGGACAGTGAAAACGATGAGAGCAAGCGCTCAGATCGAGCAGAGGGGGGGTGAAGAGGACGGGCGGGGAGGATGGGCAGGGAAGATGGGTAGGGATGGTGCCCTGAGCCACCAAAGTCGGTAGTAGTACGTATTATTGTTTTTTTTATGTGGTAAGTAAAGAACGTTTATGGGTTCACGAAAACAGTTGGCCCCTCTTTTGTTTTTGTCTGCGCCTACGATATACAAGCAGAAGCACCAATTAGCAGAAGACGTAAAAACGTAGGGATGCGTTGGAGAGGTGGGCGAAAACCAACGGATGGAATCTTCTAGAAATGTTTTATTGCAGTGTGGTGATTATAATTTTAGTTGTAGCTTATGTATAAAGTAAAATAGTCCAGCAAGGCGGACATTTTTTTCTGTAAATGGGCTGCAGATTTCATAATCAGTTTCAACTTCTTCTTCCTACCCGGGTGGTCGTAAAGGACAGAGATGTAAGAAATCTTTTCTTTCACGAAGGACATAAGACAGTAAATCTACAGCTTGATTCTCCTTTGAAAACAGGTTTTATTACATGGGAGCGAATAATTTGTTAACATTTCTCATTCAAAAACGCTCATTTCTTTCTCCACTCAGAATTTAACTTGTATGGATTAGGGCTGGCAACCCAGAAGTAATAAAATGTGCACAAAACACACTTTTCCCTGTCGCACGTCACACAGTTTTTAACTGTTATAAAAGAAAATAAAATATTTTTTAAAAAATCAAAGAGTGACTATTCTGGGACCTTTCAAATAAACCCTCATCCTCTGTAAGTACGTCGGGGACTTGTCAATTGCGTAATCTTACGTGCTTAGTGCTTAGCTTACTTGTGTTTCAAAAATACCATAGGAGTTTCTTGTAAAGTACTCATGGCCACGTTTAAATTTCATGTTTTTCTGTCAAAACATCTGTACTTCTTTTTATATGCAACTCAACTAAACCTAAACTAAAGCTCTCTGAAACGCAACGTTGCATTACTCAACACGGCCGTATCATTTAGTAGTTTTAAATGACCATACATGTATAACAGTTAATATTTATTTATGAAGCAACTTCTCTAAATTAGTCTCCCGCCAAGCCCTTAAAGATTGATAGAGGACGTGTTACATACGATGTTCTTTTATTTCCAGTTATTCCAGTTATTCAAAATAAACATGAACATTTTCATGAGCTAAGAATTGTCATCACTCTTGATGTTCTGTAGCAAGGGTTGTTGTTGCAGGGATCTTCGAACTGTTTATAAATAACAATCGAAGTGCGCGGAAGGACCATAAGGGCGAAGGATGACAAATGGAAACTCATGAGAACAAAGTGAGGAAAGGAAGACGAAGAGAGTATGGGAACACAATACGACAATGGAGACAAAATGGACAAAATTGGAAAAGGGGAAGAAAATAACAAAATGGGACAGAGTGTCAAAACGGGACAGGGAACAAAACGAACATAGGGACAAAACGGGGCAGGGAGCAAAACAGGTCAACACGGGACAGGGAACAAACGGGACAAGGGGGACAAATGGGTCGAGGGGAAAAGTAGGACTAATGGGACAAAAGGGATGAAATGATGCAAAACGGACGAGGGGTAAGAGGAACATATTTATCCAAAGATGAGTATTAGTAAAATCTAAATACGAGTGTCCTTTAAAATATTTTTAATGGTCTCTCAAGCATTTTAGCAACCCATTGCTATGGACGCGATCTTAAAGCGTTGATGCCAAGGAGCTAAGCGCATGTTTACCGATGTAAAAAACAAAAAATTATTTTTTATTAAATATAACGTGAAAATGCAAAAACAAATATAAGATTTAAAGTTAGAATTAGAAATTAAAATGACATGATAATGCTGTTTCAAGATAATATACAATTTTTTGAGTTAAAACCATTCATTTTAACACAAAAGTCCTAAACTAAAAACATAGACTAGTGAAAAGAAAGAAATATACACAAATAAGGGTCCATGTCTATAGCTCGATCACCACATTCAGAATCTGATATTCAAATTACGGGACTAAAGATTAAAAAATGTGATAGTGAGAGGCGTAGAGGCGGGGG